TAAGACAGGGGGACGTGGACCTCCAATACGTGAAAAACTGAAACAAGCGGTGTGGTGTAACATCTTATGTCGCATAGAAAAAACCAACGCAGGAGTGTGTCGTGCCTCACGGTTTATTTAAGCCTCTAACTATGACTCTGATACACCGGGAAAAGCATCTCTGGACTTCGCCATAGACTGTGATGGACCTTCTCTCCGTGTAGGTGATGTATTAAAGTACACCCACACCCTCACGGTGTGGACGGACCGGGGAGAAGAAAAACGATACTCACTCACACCAGCAATCGATGAAAATTTATGTCAATCGAATTTAAGAATTCGAGATTTGTGTCGATAGACAATCAGCTGATAGTCAATGATAGGTATATTGAACTACTCGAAGAAGATTGTTTACTTAAACAGATTAGCAAATAATGTCATTGGGCTATTTCACATATCATTGAATAATATCTGTCTTTTTTAATAACGCAATACCTTTGCGAAGTTTATTATATAACTATCAATTAACCTATGTCAAGAAAGTCTTCGTACAAACTAGTCGTTCATACTGCTTGCGTTCCATTCCCATGTGTTGCATTACGATGAGACTGTGGTGCAGCTACGCCGTAACTGCGATCGCACTGTGACCCATAATTGCGGGAAATTGTAACGTAACTACGCGTAACTACGATGAAAAAATCGCATTTACAGGTAGTTACGGTGAAAAAATCTCAGTTACGCATAACTGCGTCCAAGTTTTTCGCAATTGTGGGTCACAGGGTCGTCGCAATTGGTACAAAAGATGGCATAGATTAGATTTTCATTTTATTTGTATTTTTATTGTGTTTAAAAACGTTTTGCACACAAAACTAAAATCTTACAACTATAAGATTAAAATTTTTATAAAAATAAAAGAAAAATTTTTAAATAAGAATTTTCACAATAAAAATAATTGAAAAAGCTGCTAGCGCAATCCTTCTGGGATTAAAATGTGAAACACGATGAAACTTCTTTTCTGGAATTCGACTATCACGATCACTGATGGTCTGTGGAGCTTCTCTGTTACAGTCTGTATTATGATGTATGAAGTCTCTAGAAACCACCACAGACCATTACAGAGACTTCATATACCATCACAGACCGTTACAGAGAAATTTAATAATTAATTAATAATCAATTATTTAACCAATTAACTGATTAATTAATTTCTCTGTAACGGTCTGTGGGGGGGGGGGGGGGGGGGTGGCGGAGACGGTCCACATTTCTACCCTATATACGTCAATACTCCTTTCAGATCGTGTTTCACAAAATTAAAACCTAAAAAAATTTCAAAGCTTACTAAATTGAAAGTTAAAAAAAATTAATTTTAAAAATTAAGGAAAATAAAAAATAAATATCTAGAAAAGTAATAATATTAACATCTAAAACGATTTAAAAAAATTTAATAAATAGAAAAAAAAATTTAATTACAAAAGATTGAAAAACTAAAAAGATTTAAATCTAGAAAAGTTTAAAAAAAATAAAAAATATGTATTCTACTGCTTATAGTAGAATGATTTATGAAAGAAAGTGTGACGAGCACTGCCATTTATACTGATTTTCTGTGACTATGTTTTATTGTTAGACTGTAGCCAAGTACAAATAAGAGGGAATAATTTATAATTGGTCATTTATACATACAACGCATCGTGGGATGCGATCACTAGGACACAGTTACGTTGATCTGCGTCATAGTAAGTGTAGTTTCTTATAGAAATCTTCAATATGATCAATGCGCCATAGTTACGCGTAACTGCATCGCAAAATTGGCTCTGCATGTAACTACGGCACAGTTGATAAAAAAGAGGCGACATGGGATTGGGAGCTTTTACCTCTTTTATACACCAACTGATATAGCACTAGAAGTGTCTTCATGCTATGTACAATATATTATCAAGTACATGTTGTCCCTCTAAATGGCACGTATCAGTCGAGAACAGCTGCACAAGTGGATTGTACAGCACTACATCAACGTAGCAAGCACACAAAAACAAATCACCGTAAATCATTTTTTACAAGAAAGGATTCCTCGTCAAACCATCTACAGCATCATTAAGAAGTATGAAGAATCAGGCTATGTTAGTGACAAGCCAAGATCTGGTCGTCCAAAGAAATTATCTCGTGGACAATTAACAAGACTCAAAGGTCTTGTTAATAAAAAAAACAAGAATTTCTTTGCGTCAATTAGCATCAAAGTTTAAAGTCAGTTATCAAGCGGTCTCTAACCATTTAAAAGCTATGGGTATACAGTATTATAAAAAGCAACAAGCACCAAAATATACCGATAAACAACTTGAAGAGATTCCAACTCGCGCTCGACGATTATATCGCATGTAGCCGAACAATGATTTTGAATTAATAATAGATGATGAAAAATATTTTTTATTACAAGATCAATTGGTACCAACTAATCGTGGATTCTACACGTCTGATAAACGTACTACAGCACCACAGATCAAATTTAAAAGAATCCAGAAATTTGAACCGAAAGTATTAGTTTGGATAGCAATATCGGAAAAAGGAATTTCTACACCTTTTTTCTCAAAACAGAAGCAAGTTATTGGCCAAATCACTGATTTAAACCAATGTATTGTAGCACCTTTAATACCATTCGCTACAAGTCATCATACCAAGGGAAAAGTATTGTTTTGACCTGATTTAGCTTCGAGTCATTATGGTCACAACGTTTTACAGTATTTGGATCAAAACGACGTGCAATTCGTACATAAAGAATTGAATCTTCAAAATTGTCCTCAAGCACGTCCAATCGAAACATTGTGGCCAATACTAAAGAAAATGGTATATGATGAAGGCTGGGAAGCTAAAACAAGTAATCAATTACGTAGGCGAATTGCGAGAAAATTGAAAGAAACTGATATTAAAATTGTCCAACAAATGTTTTTGAGCATACGGAAACAGTTAAGAAAAATTGCTGATACTGGACCATATGAAGCTTGTTCTTCCTAATATAACGAACACTGATAAACACTGATACATATTTTTTCATTTGATATAAGAAATAAAAACTAAAAGCTTCACGTTGAGAAAAAAATCATAAAATCAATTTTGCACGAAGACTTTCTTGACATAGGTTAGTGCAGATAAACTCGATTCAATATCAATCAAAATCGATGGATGTGAGTGTTACTAGCTCTTGTCTCTACCAACACCCTCAAATGTAACTCTGCAATTCTTATTTAATTGAAACATTAATATTTAAATTTTGAACTTCGTGTTACAACTTTTGAACCATTGCTGAAAGGCAACCGTTGAGATTAACAGATTGATTTATTGTCTTCCCCAAGAGATAGGTTGATCTGTTTGTGAATTGAATTACAAAACATCACGAATATTGCATCACATACGTTTTGTATGCACTATGTACTTCTGCATGATGCCAGCATTTAGAAAATACACAGTGACTAATAGTCTTTCTGTTCTTGAATAAATAGATTGTTTTTTGGCATTGAAGTTTTGAGAGAGAAAGAAGGGTTGCTTGTTTTTATGGAAGTAAGCAGTTTGTGTACTTCTGTTTTTCTCGTGTATCGACCACGTTTTACGCGAAATAGAAAAGAAAGGTAACACATATTGCATGTCAATTTGCTGTTTTTTCAGAATTTTAATCATGGTAACGCTTTGCTATTAATTGTTTGAGTACAGAAATTTGTATATTTTTTTTATCTTAATCGATTTTTATAATTTGAATATTCGGAAAAACTGAATTAAAACCTTCGAAACAATAAATTTCTAATCGACATCGACATTTCAGCTGCCAGTTCTAGCTTAATTGGTCCATTTATACATTGATTATGGTTAAGAAAGGTTACTCACTGATTCAGAACCTAAATTCGATCTAAAGTAAAAAAATTCTCATATGCGATTAGCAGGTCTAAAATTATATTCTAATTGCATAAATGATAAAAACATTGTTTTTTAAAGTGAAAGACTTCGACTTACCAGTCCTGTACAATTTGGAAAAATTTTGATATTAATAAAGCTAGATGCAAGACTATGAAGCCATCAAAATAAAATTCTCTATGTGATCTAATATTATTGTTGGTAATGGTAGATGACATATGGAAAAGTTTTTCAAGTAAAGGTATGATTTCTTTTCACTTCTTCAAAACGCTGAAAAATAGCATGAAAATAAGTTTTGAAGTATTTTAGATAATGATTCCATAGAAAATTCTTTCTTAATAGTAGTAGTTTATTCAATAATACATTAAAAAGTTTCGCTTTTCATCGTTGAGCTTTAGAATTGAACCGATTGGTTGGATCTGATTGAAAAGACTCCAACGCGTTCGAAGTCTAGTCTGCAGTAAGTGATTTACGTTTCAGTTATACAGAAAAATAGTCATTTAGTTTCAAAATTTTGTTGTAACCCGTTATATAATGTCGCGACTTTTTCTAAGACTAAAGCGTAAGAGTCTTCAAGCACTCTATTAATTTATGGTGTCTGAATGGCAAATAGTGTTACAACCATTTCTTTCTTGTGTTGTATTAATCTCTCATTATCACCTACTTTTATCCTTTGTATGCATATTGATCTTCATTAGCCTATGTCATTGTAGACTTTAGATTTTAAAACAATGTATGGCTACGTATTGCATGTGGCAAAAATGAAGCAAAGCGGGGTCATGTGTTGGCGGAAACTTGAGCGAGGCATGGCTTGCTGGTATAGTTATGCAAATTGCTACTCGACAAATACGATTAGCCAGCGCGTGAACAATGTTGGTTTGATATGTCATCGGCTGTGCTCGACTATTTCAGGTTCAACTCCATCGTTTCCTCAATTATTATGCCCTACAGCATCAACAGGTATGAAAAAAGTGCTGAAACACTGAAAAAGTTGGAGTACGCTCTAAGAACGTCGTGCTTGTTTAAGAACTAACTTATGCTCTTTTATGAAAAATTCAGCAATCTATGAATTCTTCTTTTCGTTTATCAACAGGATCAATGCGCTCGTTAATATTTCTTAGAATGAATAGCATAACTTTATCAGTAGGAAGATAAGTTGATCAAGTGAAAAGCAGTGGTGAATGAAAATTTCTGTCAAAAAATATACGAAAATCAATATCAAATGGCAGTTACGGGATGTAACTAAAAGCAGTCTAGGAAAAGTTTCACTTGCACAGGGCGAGAAATCAGATGTTAAGATCTGGTAAGATTCTGCATCTGATCTTATATGATTGTGTAAGATCCGACTAAAAATCGTAAAAAAATCGTAGTCTCTGAAATCTTATATCAAGTTGTAAGATCAGGTTCTTGAAAGATCTTACTGTATCGTAAGATATGACTCTAAGATTATAGAAAATCTTGCGAAATAGTAAGCTCTTTCAAGTGTCTTATTGTAAGAATTAATGTAAGATTACAGAAACGACGAGTTTTTGTACGATCCTATCTGATTTTATAAGATCTTACATCTGATTTTTTGATCTGGGTAAACTATCGCATCTTGCCGGATCGTCTTGAAAACAACAGTATTCTATAGGATGATAGGCGATATCTAGTAATCCAGATACCACCAAGTTTATGCCGGGTTCTATAGTTTTTAGTTCAATTCCGACATCATCCGATGAAATTCAGCTAGGTATTCGGATTACTGAATTTTATCTTTCAAAAGATGAATGAATATGGCGGCGGTTCCATAAGATTTTGCAGAATAAACCCAAGTTGAATGAACACCAGAGCAAAAACAAAGTCGAGTCTGACAAGCAATCATATAACGGATTATTCTTGATCAAAAGCACCCTCTTCCATTGAAACAATATCAACAAGTAGAGTCCGCTGTGCCTGAAAATTTACTTTTTACCATGTTCAGGTGAGCAGCCATCCTATTCCGCAATGTTGAACATTCCGCAACCAGTTCCGCTCACGAAACCAATTCCATATAATTCCGCCGATCACTTCCAACACAATTCCGGAATTCCCGGAATCACTGCCTACCAATTCCATCTGATTCCCGGAATTCCGTTTATCCCTTCCAACTCAATTTCGGGACTGCGTGCACCGACACTGACATCCACACCCACACTTATCGCAACACCCACACTGGCATCCACCCCCACATTTATGGCACCACCCACACTTATCGCAACACCCACATTGGCATTATCACCCTGCAATTCCTTTACGGAATTCCGGGAATTAGGTCGAACAGGAATTGGGCAGAATTGAACGGAATTACTCGGAATTGCTTGTAATTCCGGAATTAGATGGAATTCCATGTAATTCCGGAATTGGATAAAATCCCGTGTAATTTCTAGGAATTTCCAATGATTCCGCTTTCACCTAATTCCGGAATCGACGGAACTGATTCCGGAATGTTCAGCATTTCGGAATAGGATTTATTCTTGCCCAGATCCAGTTCGAATCCAAAGAAATGTTTAATTTATTTATAAAAATTGAAAACTTTCTTGTTAAATATAATATTTAAATCTAGTTATCATTATAAATATATATACCAAACAATATTGCATTTTATTAAATACTCTTGTTGATGAGGTCTTGATTATCATCCAAAAAAATTACAGTTATCATTGGTTTTCATTTTTTTAATTGATAGTGTTGAAGTTGAATTCTTTTTGTTTTTTAAGACTAAGATTTGTTCATCGTCGACTGTTGATAACCTTCTTTTCAACTGTTCGTATTTTGGCAGTGACATTTCTTCGTTGATCTCTGATAAAGAAACGAGATTTTTTTGAAAAAACAGCAATTTTTTCACTTTATCAGCAGTTAAACTAGTTCTTTTATCCGTCACGGTATTTTTTTGATGAAGAAAATTATCGTCTAATATGTAGGGTGCGCTAGTCATCGATATAAATAACTGGAAAAAGTATCTTGTATCTATGAAACATTTATCAAATGCAGATAAAAAAAGGCATTGAAAAATGTTAAGAATGCAGTGAGACTCCGGATTCGAGTCCGGCTCTGAAAATTTTCGGACCCCAAGGTCAAATCGACAGCACTGTGTAAGATATTCTCAATTTACGAATGAAACCTTCAATATCAGATGAAAATTTGATAACAGAATAGCTTACTTTTGAATAAACTGATAACATTCGTTACAATAGAAAAGAAACTGATATTCGACGTAGTTGGCAAATTATTTTGGCTTGTGGGGCATTTCATAACAGTTTTCAAATATCCTAGGTGGTTAGTAGGGGAAAATGTTGGCATAGGGAGTACTGTATAGACGCTTCTGATAATATCCTAGGTAATAAGTATGTGAAAGTGTTTTACTCTGGGAATCAATTTTTGGTATGCTTGCCTATATCACCAGCGGGTGTGAGTGTGAAATATTTGTACGCCGGTGATGACTCGTCAGGGTCTAAGGAATGGTGAGGTTTGTTGAATGGTAAGTTTTCGATTTGAGTGTCTTGGTGAATAAAATGAATTTCCCTGTGAAACGTATTTGGTTTCTTTTACAATAGTGAATGAATATTTTGCTCACGTTGACTTTTTTATACCGGTTTGCGGTGATTCCGGGTGGATGTGAGTGTAAGTGTGAGGATGCATGTATAGTACATCTATTCATTCACATCAATACCCATACTCACACCCCACACAGCCATATCCATACTCACACACTCTTATCGTGAGAACAAAACACCAGATAACAACAATCATGCAAACACAACAAAATTATCTGGAAAGTTTTTCTGTCCAATGCACTTCATCTGAATTAGAAACCGTAAAATCGAGCTTACCTATGGTGAAAGCTTCAATCTACTGAGATAAACTAGCATAAGTGACCGATTAGCTGGAGAAGATCGAAGAGAAACTACTGTTAACATTATTATAACCGACTGTTTCTAGGTCAAATGCGATCGATTTCATCGAACAACTACTCGAAAGATGAAAATGACTCTCATACAGAACTGGCTCCAAAATTACTTAGATTGGCAAATGAAACTGATCCAATACTACATAATCCAATAGAAGAGATGTCGTTAGCAGACATTTGCGGGGATGAAACAAAACAAACTGTAGCAGATATGATATATTCAATTCGACCAGAGCAGTTACAAAGTGCGAACACTCCGTATAAAAAAGCGGCTGGAATGGCAGCGAACCAATGGAATATAAATAAGCGCATCTTTCTGTTTTGTCCAGGTGGCAGTGATGGAGAGGTGAAAGTTATATTTAATCCAGCCTATAAACCAATCACGCTCACTGATAATCTTGTCCATGAATCGAAATCGACAACTGTTAATCAGTCTACGAATTGCGCTAGAGAAAGTTGCTTTAGTGTTCCGTATGCATATGGCACAGTCGAACGGTATACACACATTGAAATCAGCTACATTGATGATAAAGGAAAACAGCATACGGGTGAAAAACTATCAGACTGGCAAGCTAGAGTCTGGCAGCATGAAACAGATCATTTGAACGGAATATTGTATTCCAACAGACAATCGGGTATCGATAATGGGCCAAACTGCACTGAACTACATAGATTTCATACTAAAGACGAATTAGAAAACTGTCCAAAATAATTTAACATCCTGAGTGTATGTGTCTAGATGCAGGTATTACCCAGGTCCATGATACTGGGCTCCAGAAAAATATGATTTCACCGGAACCGCTCGGAAAAGCCGGAAAAACCTTCGTAGCCGGTAGGCAAGCAATAGAAATCGACGGATGTGGAAGCAGTATTCCGGTCGGAATGCTATCTATACGTCCCGACAATATCCGATACTTTCCTGCAGGAACTATCTTTTAGTTATTGACCTGTGTTATAATCATCTACATTCATACACACGTAAGCATCTTCGTTGTTGATATTGGTATCATTCTAATATTTTTTGTTCACTGCTTATTGTTATACTAGTGATTTTTCCGGCTTGTTTATAATAAAACCAGGAGCGAATATCATTGGATATTAGAGTATTTCATAATATATAATGAAAGTTGTGTAACTTGTATTTGCACTGCTTTTATAAAAGACAAATACCAATAATAGTTTTATATGCTTAAAAGTACAAGACAATGTAAGTATCGAAACAGTATAGTGTAATAAGAAGAAGTAAATGTATACTTGATGTCAGTTTAAAAAGGCCTGTATATGAGATTTTATCCAAAAATTATAATGATATATGATCGCTCCTAAGCAGCTCTAAATTACAAACATCATGGTTGTTGATTATTCAGAGTAATCAATTTAGTCCGTATCATTTCTATTGGTTTACAATTACTTTCTTGCAGAATTTCATACGTAAGTGATGTTGTCTGGAAAAGTTCAATCGTCTTATTGGTTGTGTCTTTGGTCTGCATAAAATGCGACCATAGACTGATGGCAAAGAAGAATATCAGGGTGATGCTTAGGTAGTTTATTGGTCCACATACGTAATGCTGTTTCAAATGCCTCCGATGCTTTAGTATTATTTCCAAGTGTAGCATGGGTCTGCCCGATAAGATGCCAACATTTGGCGATGTCTCGATGGTCACCATCAAGTGTAAAGAGACGTCTATACATATCTAAAGCTCGTTCGAATAACACAAGTGCACCGGCAGCATCACATCTCGCCATATATAGTTCGCCCATATTTTTCCATGTATATGCTAGATCGGCGTGATCTGGTGATGTTGTTAAAAACAGCTTCTCAATAAATTGCAAGGCTTTTCTGTAGTATGCACACGCTTCATCTAATTTATTGAGTCGATAAAGAGTTTTTCCTATATTATTAAGGATGACGGCATACGTTCGATTAATTTCCATTATTCGTCTGTCATACAAATCAGTTGCATAATAAAATCGTTGAAGCGCTTCATCGTACTTTCCTTGTTTGTACAATAACTTCCCAACACAAGTAAAATCCACGGCAAGTTGTGGATGATCTTTGGGTAGTAGTCGTTCGTGAATTGCTGTACCATCGAGCATATATTGTAGTGCGCGTTCATATTCTCCTATAAGATAATAAGAATATGAAAGAGAGCTAAGGGCCGTACTTTTGTCAGGATGATCAAAAGGATATACATCTTGGAAAAGCTGCAGCGCTTGTTGAAAATGTTCTAAACTTGCTTCATGTTCACATTTCAGGAAATATATCAAACCAGCACCCCTTAATGCATGAGCAATACCTGCTTGATTATCATTTGCGCCTGCTCGCCGATAAAGTTCAAGAGCTTTCTTGTTAAAAACGAGAGCATCTGCAAAGTTGTTGCACGTATAGTATACCCGGGAAGAATAATAACAAATCTTTGCTGCAAGTGCAAAACATTTAGTATCACTTTCCATGGCCAATATATATGCCTGTTTCAAATGTGACAAAGCATGATCAGATCTGTTGAGAGCATCGTGGGATCGAGCAATAGCAAAATGAACTTGTGGATCATTGATTCGTCGGGCTGCAAGCTGCTCAAAATATGTATGAGATTTAAGCCATTCACCCATATCATGTAATAAATCACCAAGAATAATTTCTATATCAGACGACTTATTCAATTCAGCCTGTTTGAAATCAAGATATTCGTGAGCTATGACTTGACCTTCGTCACTTGCTTTCATGCGACATATCCAATAATGATTTTCATCTTTGCATTCGAAAGATTCAATTTTAAATACTGTACCAAGATCAAAAATTACTTCGTCTTCATCTTTAAATGAGCTGAGATGTCTTATATCAGCGAGAATTAAGTCTGGAAAAGTATCTAAATCAACGTCAATCACAAATAAAATCGATTCAAAAACACCAGCAGTAGATGACAACAGGTTTTGGACTCCGATTCCTGCATACACTTCAGCAACAGATATTTGTCGACTAGTTGAGAAAAAAGTGTTAACAGCAATATGATGACCAATGCTTTCTTGAATTCGTTCACGTTCTAATCTGGACAGTTTCATACCTCGATAGACAGTTACATTTGATGTCAAATTGCGTAATATTTGACAATTTTCGGCTAAATATTTAGATAGATCCACAATATAAAATCGATAGTTATACAATGAATCGATATCATCAGTTCGTAAAGCTTTATTGATTAGTTTATATATGAATGTATCTCGAGTGTACCATCTAATCGCTTGATTAGGCGTGTAATCGTTTTCGAATTCGGCAATATTTTTTATTTCTTTTTCGTTTCCTCTATAATACATGCGACATCTATCTATCATTTCTTGTTTGCTTTCACTTGTTGAACCGTTATTCATTGCCATCTGTTTCATAGCTTGTTTGAAAAGTTGAAGAAAAATGAAAGAACCTGATTCTCGACTTAAATCTCGCATTGATTTTTGTTTATTAGTATCGTATAGAGCAAATATAGTTGATTGCTTGTCGACAATTTCAATTGCATTCTTAATACTTAAAGCAAGACTTCTCTGTTCATTAAAAATACCAATAATTTTGCAATAATCTTTTTTCAATTTCTCATAATTATTCTTATTTTGACAAAAAATAAAAATCGAATCAACATGCCGCAAGTTATGCAATGCATTAAGAAGATTCAATGTTGCACATAAACCAGAAACTATAAGCAGTACTGTTTCGTTTTTAATCGAAGAGATATAAGCAAGACATTCAGATTCATTATCGAACAACTCCACATAATCATTCAATTCACGTAATATTTTCTCTGTTAAACAAATATCAACAGCAAAAGATCCATTATCGATAACATGACTATCCAACCATACCAATGTAATTTGTTCACAGTTGGTTCTGGTTGATGACAAATGAATTTCAACGTCTAATTCAGCATGTTTATGTCGTTCTAAAACAACATTTTCTCTAGTATATTCATTCGTGATGTTGATGTTGCCAGTTATGATATTCATATGGCCAAGATTAGTTAAGAATATGAAGTACAAATTCTATTCAGTATGCCAATATTTTCGTGATCATTATCCAATTATATGTATAATACTCGTAATTTGGTTTTTACCAGTTTTAACGGTGAAATAGAATAAATAGTAATGACACATATGGCTGAGTAAACTATATTATACTTTCATTCTGGGTTTTGTGCGACTTTTTCCAGTATAAAAACTTTTCTTCCTGTGAGCAATAACGTATGATACATTCTTATATTTGCATGAGTGAAGCACAGTGTGTAAGACAATTATTTCGATACCTTGAAGACGGATATTGTGAGGCTTACTAGTGACGAAAGAATAACATTTTTTTAACTTAAAATATACTATTTGATAGGCTTGAATTTTTACTTTAATCTAAGGGTTGGTGTGAGTTAGAATAACCCCCCCCTACAGAATAGAAGCACATGGATGGTGTCTCTGTTCCACAAGCTATAATTTTGTAACAAAGTATGCCGTGATGCCAGCTTTTGGGTTATTTGATACAGAAATATTCATCCTTTCATTTTTCATCGGTTTTAGTTCATTTTTCATGAAGTAAACCTTGCTTTTCAACGGATAAATCTAACCCAGAGGGTGGCCTTCTATTCTGTGTAGGGGTTTATATCGCCGCGCCACAGCAATGGCTGTTTCTGTCTCTGTGAGACTTCATCAGATAGTATCTTAATATTATATCTACTAGATAGTAATTCTTTGAAATTAGGTAACATTTGAATTACATTTGCATATAAGAATTATTAACGATATTTGTACATTCTTAAATTTTCATAAAATAGAAACTTAAACTATAATCTTAAGATCCCCCCCCGCCACAGAAAAGCCGATTTTTCGAAAAAAAAGGAAATCGAGTTTTTATCATAGAAAGATTCCCCGTGATCTCCTCTGCCAGAATATATATAATTTTTTGAAAAAGATTAAGTTTTGACAGACTTATTGAAGAAATACTCTTTCATTTCCCTTACTCCCACAAACCTTTCTAAAAATTCCTAAATGTTGATCTGAAAACATGGTTCTCAAGTATAAA